TATATATATATATATATATATTTGATGAGTAGTATTTTTAAAAAATTTAATTGGCTACAAGGCTATAATGATTTATAATCAATTAAAAGTATTAATTAAGAAAATAGATAGAAATTATTAAATTAGATTCAAATGATGTTTTAAATCTTGCACCAATTTTTAACATCTTATGGCTACGTGATTAGGGTTGTCAAAACTACTCTTTGCTCGTGAACAGCTCGTGTTCGACTTGCTAAGCAAATATAAACGAACCGAACACGAGCGAATCTCGTTTACACTCCAATGATAATGATGGGAAGTTCGCTGATTACAGTCCGTTGAAATAATCAAAATTAAAAGGCCGGCAATATATATATATATATATATATATATAGAAGCTCGGCAGAATCATTAATTAGGGTTTGATTAAGAAAGAGATCTCACTTGCTTTTTGGTGTTGATGGGATGCCTCAGGGCTACATCTGTCCATCATAAAAGTCTTAAATGATTATAAAATTATTTATATTTCACACCTTCGGTCCCACCGCACCTCATTCCTCTCATGCCACGTGGCATACACAACACGTGGCAGAAGCAGAGAAGAAGATGGGTCAGTGCTTTCCTGAAAACAATGCTGAATTTAAATAATAGTTGTTTAGTCATGACTGATTTCAGCTTTTCTGTCATTATTCATGTTGAAAGAAGGGGGTCGATTACTTATCCATTTAATGGAAATTAAAAATGGGGAGAGGCCGGCGCATTAACTAAAGGTGGTGACCACTAAATAGTAAATGTAATTTGATGAGAGAAAGTGGGTGGACAAATTCAGTTAATTATCAAATTTCCAAGCCTATCTTTCAAAACCTATGCCCATCATTTTCTCCTTCAACATCTTTTATCCACTATTCCCTCAATCAAGTCTTGCGTCCACTACTCTCGCAAATATGGTCACAGACGTATTATAACGTATCTAGACCGGGTCTAGCTGATGATCTGGAATGTTTATGGGATAGATCTGCGACCTTCTGCTTAAGTGATAGAGAGATCGGCGATAGCGGGTGTGGTAATTGTGTTATGGGGGTTCGCTTCCACGCAGCCTCGGCTAAATAGATAATTAATTGTTTGGGTGAGCTTTTGAGTATGAGACTTTGTGGAGGTGGAATTTTTTTTCATCTATGAAGCCAACTCACATTGATCCTCATGTATAGAACACATTTAAGGATGTCTTGAGCTTGCGATTATTTATTGCTTAGTATGAAGCTTGGAAACTCAAATTAATATGAACATTGATCTTAAATATTAAAAATAATGCCAACAGCCATAAATACTCAATATTTAACGAAGTGAATCCAACAACCATCGATCTCATAGAAGAAAGGGTTGTAGGGGAATGATCTAAATCTCTTGATACTAGAAGGAGCGAAGAACCCAGAGCTCAATTTGGTTCAAGAAATAGAAAAAAGAAGGAAATTAATAAATTCAAGTGGAATTAAATTAAAGTTAGTTTTCCCTAATTTTTAGATTCATGAGAAATTTATGTAAAATACATATTTTTTATTTAGGTTGATGAAATTTTGTTTTATTTTTTTGTGACATGTGAGTCACAATAATGTTCTAAAAAGTCTTATTTCTTTTTTGTATTAAAGTTGGATAGAAAAATTATCAATAAAAAATAGCAAGTGAAATCATTTTATTTTTTATGAAAATTGCATATATTATTACTATTTTCTATATAAATCTAATTAACTATTAATTAATTAATTATATCTATCTATATATATATATATATATATAAATTGACCACCTAATATGAAACTATTAAATAAAATTCATTTGTATTATCTTTCAATTTATCTAATTCAAACATATCATAAGAATTCACTGAAATTTTCTTATAGAAGAATGTGAATCTACATGAAGATCTAAGTGCATTAATTCCAACTCTTGAATGGATGTTTTTCTTTAGGCTAAAGAACTCCCTTTAGCATAAAGAGCATCTAAACTCATGAAGAGCACAATGTAGGCGTGTTTGATATATAAAGGCAAAAAGACTCTTAAATAAATAATAATAATAAAGTTAGTAACTTTAGGGAAATTAAAGTTTGAAAATTTGATTTTCCTAAATTTACTAATTTACAATAAAGAGCTTCTTAACTCAAAAAGTTTGATTTTCCTAAATTTGCTAATTTACCATAAAATTAAAGTTAACTAAATTAGATAAAAACCTAATCTAAGGGGGTTGGTTAAAATTTGAAAAGTTTTTGTATAATTAAAATCCCTTTTCCCTTGCGATGAGATTATAATTAGTGTAGGAATCGAATGTTTAAAGTTTAAAATATTTTATGACAAATAGAGCACACCTGCTTCTTTACCCTATTTTGAGTGCATAAAGAACAATGACTAATCTAAAGTAAGTTCTAGCTTGTGTGCTAGTGCTGGGTAGATTATAGTCTGTCACTTCTAGATTACCCACTGAGCCCTCTCTATAGGACCTATCAGGGACCCTTAGTTCCAACTTTAGACTAAATTGGTAAATGATTTAGTCTGTCACTCAAGAAAAATCAATTCTACGTCCATCAAAACTTATCTCTCTATCTATCTGCACTCTCTTTAGATTTGGGTTCCCTCCTGTAAGGTTTGTGTGGACTCACTAGTTTGGTGAAATCATAGCACTCCCGGGTCTTTATGTTTCGCGGCCAATTTTAACATTACAAGTGTTTGGTTTGAAAAGTAAAATAAGAACCGATGAAAATACAATCACAATTTCTGAATAAAAGAAATCTTCAAGTCATTTTAATCACAAAAAAAAAAGGAATAAGGAAAACTACTCACTAAGCATGGAGAAAGCACAATAGAAAATTTCGTTTCAATCAAAGCAAATTCACTATAAAAGTATTTACAACAATTATAAGATAATGAAGAACACAACACTTAGTTTTTTTCTTCTAAAAAAAGATGAAAATTCCTCCAACAAAGTCTCCTGCTAATCCACACAAAGTTCCTACAATTCCTTTCAGATACAATTCCTTTCAGATATCCTACAATTCCTTTCAGATATCTCTCAAAATCCCTCACCAATCTCTCCAGAAAATATAGAAATCTAAGTTTCCTACTTCTATCTACGACCTTCGGACGTTTTTGGAGTTTCCAAGAGTTTGAAATGTCAAAATGTGCATTCCCAAGTGTCAAATGGTGCTTAAAGACTCCTAATATCGAGCAATAACCGCTCTAAACGGTTACTGGCGCTAGAATCAGCGCTATGACGCCTGTTTCTCAACTTGACTGGCGCTATGGCGCTAGTTCAAAAGTTGGTGCGGCTCCAATTAGCTCTGTTTCACCCCGTTTTAGCCTCAATCTTGATCCAACAAAATGTGCTCCAAATTGCACCATTTTTTCTTCATTTTCTCCAAAATTCATTTCTTATATTTGGAACCAAAAACATGCAAAATATTTTCATTAAAGCACAATATCGTCAAAAAGGTACAAAAAAATGAGCATTAAATGTATATTTAAAACAGAAAATTTTAAGATGTATCAGCACGCCCGCACCTCTGCGTAATTACATTGTACGCTCTGTTGGACTAGCGTAGTCACACCTTCATAGGTTATGTTGCGACTTGTGAAGAATCGGGTCTGGTCGCACCCGAAAGTGGCGTAATTATGCAAAAATCTCTGTTTGGTCAACGTGGTCAGCCGCCTTCAGGGTGGTCACGCCGAGGGTGGAGGTTGCCACAACTCAGGTGACTTAAGGCGTGGTGAAGCATGTTTAAGACGTGGTCACGTCAGACCCTCAGGTCATTTTGACTTACCTGAAGTCCGTCGAGGGGGTTTTATAATCCGTTCAAGCCACGAATCCAAGCAACAAGATGATCGTCGAGTTCGTCCTAGATCGGGGGGACCAATTCCGACCGTCGGTAACGACTTCTTAATAGGATCAAGATAGGATGAACCTTCGATCTGGTGCATGCCATGCTCGCTGACGGCTCTACAAAATTATGTCAACATATAATAAAATGATAAACATATATATTTTTTATATGTGTCATGCATTCTTATCTTAATTTAACTTAAATAAAAGTGTGTCTCATGCATTTCAATTAACAATAATTTGACCTTACGCTAAAATAAGAAAAAATTAATATTACTATATTAATCTCATATTGTGCTGATTGAGCTCTGCAAAATGATCTTTTTTTAAAGTAAAATATGCATTTTTTATCCATAAGTTTATGACACTACGATATAAATAGATGTAAACATCAAACTTCTAGTGTTGATTTATAAATACATAAAAATTGTGTTGTATATACATAAATTTCCATTAAATAACAAATGCATGATCATTTAGCAGAGCTCCTTTAAAAGTCACGTCCACTGAACAGAGAATGTCTACTGCAAACTGTGATCTAAATAAGGTAAAAAAAATTATCATTCTTACGAAACAACTTAGACATTACTTCATCAAATGAAAATCTTTCCATGCAATAGCGTTTGACAACACAATGAAACAGAGCTTCACCACCTTCTCAAGCCGAGCGTGTAGGCCAATCCAAGTTTGTAGTTCATTTAAAAGCTTGAGTTAAAAGGAAAACATCAAGCCGAATCAAAAGACCGGTAACAATTAAACAATTATTAGCAAATAACAAAAACAAGATACTAAATATAGATAACATGACAAGTTCAAAAGTTCAACCTTATCCTCATGATGAATAGACATTATTATTTTACATGATCTTAAACCCAAAAAAAAGGGTCAATTAAAAAACACCATTATATACAATCTGCTAAACCAATAAACTGCATAAATTAGCCATAAGTAATGGAGGCATTTGCATACAATGCACCTGAATAGTTACTACTAACAAAAAAAAATTCACCCTCTTCCAACCCTCTTTAAATTGTCACTCAAATATCAAAATTCACAATAAAAAAAACCACAACTCATGTCTTTCACTCACTCTTATCAAAATGCTAATGATTTGATCATGGCAAGTATAAATAAATGGATTCAATAATATAAAAAATTAACCTGTGAGGCCAATTTGTAAATAGTAACATTTCGGGTGTTATGTATGTAATTATCCAATTAAAAAAAGAAACATTGCCCCATTGGAGTGTTAATCCAGGTGCTTCGGCTCCTCTATAAGCCAATATAACTTAATTTCCTAAAGAAAGACAGCTTAAAACTCTCAAAAACCTCAAAATAAAAGAAAAACAGTTAGCAAAGTAAGAACTTCACTTATGTCAGCCAAAAAGCATCTAAATCTCCCTTAAATGAGACATATTGATGCTGCCATCCTCAAGCTGGAAGCTTCAACTTTTCACGGTTTTTCCAACTAGCAAGGCATGGAAAAAAGAATATTATTATCCTCTAAAGATTATATGAGAAAAATATGAATATGATAGTTAGGGTATTGTGTACCTCTTTATGTAATAATAGAAGAAATCAGTGTAGATGACTGTTTGAATAAGGCCGGATAACCAGGCTGCAAGACAAACATCAAGTTTTGTTTACTTTATAATCATTAGATGATCTGTTTATTGCACAAGTAGTATCTCAAATCTCACATGTAATTTGTGCATAGACTAGTGATTTAGTGTTTTGTCCCTAATTACAAGTTTGGAGTACAAAGCCTAGCACATATGAATATGCATGAGCTAAAAAAAAATTCAAATGCAATTCATAAATCCTTTCTCGACATATAGTGCTCTTGGTACGAGTATATACAAGCACAAGCCGCGTATTTAAACGAGGTCAGTTTTGCAGTGGTGACATTTCATTTATTATAATTGACTAAAAGAAAAAGGTTATGGTTTATTTGGGATTTTTTTTTTTCATTTGCTCTATGGAATAAATTTATTTAGTGTATTTTACCTGTTATTTTTTGTTTTTAAAGATAAAATAATGTTTCTTAAAAATACTCAAAATAACTTTTAGATGTTTTGAGTGTCTTAAAAAATAACAGTATTTTTAACTGATTAATCATGTTTTGTTTCAAATCAAAACATAAAAAATAAAATAAAAAAAAATACAAAAAAAAAACAAAAAGTGATCCAAAAATACCCCTTAATATGTTTTTTTAGCAGTTTTTATTTTTTTTAAAACAAATTAAGCTGCTAGAAAATATTCAAATAGCATTTTTTTTAAATGTTCTTGAAAAAAAACTAATCATTACAAGCCCTTATGGCCGCCGCCTTCATCACTGCCAGCCGCCCATGACAAACATCACCATTGCCATCGTCCTGTCAGAGGTGTCGGCAGTCACCACCCACATAAAAAATAAAATATGCTTTTTATAAACCTAAAAATATTTTATTTAACATCAAAACAAAAACAAATTAAAACTAAAAAATAAAAATAAAAGTAACCCCAAATGACCCCTAAAGTTTTATTTGAATGGGAAACATTGTATGAATCATAAAAAAGGAAGCTTACGTATCCAACGAACTCTATGGTTCTCTGTGAAGAACCGATAAACCCAGTTGAGAAGATATAGTCCCCTGTACGCCCTGCAAAGAGAAACAGTAAATTTCCTTACATTCCTGTATACAAGACTGAAAGCATATAACATGAAACAGAAATATTTAAAGATATGTCAGCTAAAGGAATATAATAGAAAACGGAAGCATAAGAAAGAATTCATTGAAGTAAATGGTTATAACAGCAAATGGATAAATGGAACTTTGATTTCATTGATTGATGGATATTCAGAACTGCTTGAGAACTAAAACATGCCCTAAAAGAAGAATTTAATGGTGTCACTTAAAATATATTTAATTATAAGATATTGTTTCTCAACAAGAAAAATTTATTAAAAACAATAAGTGATAGTGAAACATACTATAATGGATGTATAGAAAACAGAGCTGTGAAAAAGCCAACCCAAACGATTACTTCAACAAAGATGCTAAAAAAGGTTGCAATAATTGGGCATTATAAATTTATGCGAATAGACAATTGCACTGTGCATCTGCAAAGAAATTGTTTTTAATTGGAAAATAAAATAGGAATATAGTTTGTACAAACTTACTGGGGTCTGTTTAGCACAGTTGCAACAGTTTTTAAAGAAGCATAAAGTTAATAAGTAGAAAGCAACAATTTCGAAAGCTGTTATGGGTATCATCATTTTTTTTCCATTGAAAAAGTTTGATGGCAGTTTTCTTATAACTATCACATTAATAGATTTCATTGTGAAAAGCTAAGTCTTACCAAATCAATTTATAATAAACAGCGAGAAAGAAATAGCCTAACAATTGTATGGCAATAGTCTAAAACGCACAGCAATGAATAAGCTATACTCCAAGCAAACCCAAGTGCCTGAAACTAGACAATGATAGTGACGTTACCTAAAAAGTTAACAATTCTCATAATTTTTAAGAGCATTTATATAACAAATAGCAGGGAAAATAAAATTTAATTGCAATGTAATATATACGAGTGAAATTAAAAAACACATGCAAGAAATCATGTAAAAAAATGTATTTATGTAGTGGTCAGATTTGTATTTTGGGCTATGACATTCGGTTCAGGCATCTTTGGAAATTAATTCAATGCATCATAAAATTATCAAAATGGTGAAATAAAATCTGATTTATAACATAGTCAGTTAGAAATGCTTAAGCATGTGGGTTCAAAAAAAAAAAAAACTACATATTTTTATGTAGCATGACTATACATTTGAAGCTATTAGACAGCTTAAAGCATTTAGGATCACTCAGTAATATCTAACTTAATGCCAAAAACAACAATATTTAATTTGATTATCTTTTTTAAACCATACAAGCATTCATAGGTTTTGTTTTGAAGTTTAGGTTGAAATAATATGTTATATATTATCATATTAATGTCTAGATTGTAACCTATTTTTTTAATGTAAACAAGAAAATAAATTTATGTATGTGAATATGAACTCAGCACCTATTTGCTGCTTTGTCAAGCTTGCAATTAAAAGTTTAAGAACTCCTAAGTTTATTCCAATTTTACATTATTGAGTAAATATGATGAATAATATAATTTGTGAATTCATATTACTTTTTAAAAACAGAAGCTAGAAAGCTTGATTTGCTCATTTCCCCAATGAGCATTATATGCAACATTACCTACAATATAAGTAAAAACTAATAAAAACAAAATAAAAAATTTAAAATTAAAACTACAGTCCAAAACATCTATCTTGAGCAGTGGGAAAATGCAATCTGTGGTACTTCTCTTTTCATGTTAAACAAATGAATCAATGACGTTAAGCACATACAAACATTGACCTCCCATTAGGACATATGAAGTGCAAATTAACCCATTTTCTAGTGTCATATTTATGAAATGTTGATTGCAAACTTATTGTCACAGTATCATCTCATAGGTCATTTTTATTTAATTTTTAAATAATATGTTATTATTGTAAATCATAAAAGTTCATAGATATCTTGAGCAATTGCTCTTAATTTAGAGCACTTGAGCTTGAGACAACATGCTATCAATTTATTTTCAGTAGCATGCAATATCCTAAAGTGGGTCTCCTATCTATTGATTATCCCGCATAGTATACATTGGTAAATCTTCAAATTGTAGGAATTCATATTTACCATACAGAATTAACTTTTCAAGCTTTGATCATAGATTCATGAGAACTCTATGAGCAACTTAAAGTTGAGATTCCTTTAATTTCTGCATAAATTAACTTATGAATACGAGTGTAACTGTGTCAAGTCAACTCGTGATTTGGTTCAGGCTCAACTCAATAAATGGCTCAAAAGTCGAGCTCAATGTGATAACAAGCCAAACTTGAGCTATACCCAAGTCGACCCATTAGCTCATTAGTCGGCTCTTTTAAAAAATATAACCATATAATATACCTAAAGTATATTAGAATACAAAATTTCAAGTGTAAGCTTGTTAAAAATTTTTAAAATTTTTTTACTTAATTATGTATATCAAGTGATTTTCTAATACTTCTCCTCTAATTTTCATTTTTTTATTATTTTTGTACAATAATTATTTGCATCAAATTTCTTTATAATGAATGAGTCAGCTCAAGAGTCAACTAGAAATCATACAATTAAACTTAAGCTCAAGCTAAAACTTGATTAATTAATCAAGCCAAAGGTATCTCGAGTTTGGTTCAATTTATTCATAGCCCTGACTTATGAGACTTACAATAAAAGTGATGTCAGGATGGGTGACATAGATTCAATTAACTTATAACTTTTTTTTCTTTTTTCCTCTTTTTTTTTAATATTTTAACTTTGATATTATGCAATAAAATGGATTAATAGCTTAAGTTTTAAACTTTGGTATTCATACAGGAGTCGCACAAAAAATGGTGTTGGTGTAATTATAGATAAGGGTTTGAAAGAGAAAATTATTAAAATTAATAGAATTGAAGTTAGAACTATAGACATAAAAATTATTGTTAATACTAAGATTATTAATGTTACAAATGTTAAATCCTTCTCAAGTAGGTTTAGATACAGGTTCAAAAAAAAATTAATAGAATGACCTACAAATGATACCACTTGAAAAAAGAATTTTTATTGGAAGAAATTTAAATGGACATATCGGTAGAGTGAAAGAAGATTTTAGAAATATTCATAGTGGCTACGGTTTCGAAGTAATTAATGAAAAAGGTAGAATCATATTAAACTTTGCTTTAGCTTATGATTTTGTTATTGCTAATATTTTATTTAAGAAAAGAGATAAACATATTATTACTTATAAGAATTGATCTAATAAAGCACAAATTGATTATTTTCATATGAGAAAAAAAAACCGTAAAAAATGGAAGGATTGTAAGATCATTCCAAATAAAAATTTAAGTACTCAACATTCTGAATTTTAAGATAAAAAGTTGAAAGATAAAAAATACAATGAAACATTATCATAGAATTAAATAGGAGCACCTAAAAGTCAAATAAAATTATTTTTATAAGTAAACTTCAAAATTTCAAGATTTGAGATGTTCATGAAGAAACTAATTTGATATGGGATAAAGTAACAAATGTTATTAAACAAGTGTCAAAAAATGTACTTGAAGAATCAAAAAGAAAAGTTATAAATAAAAATAGTTACTGGTGGAATCAACATGTGTGAGAAAAAAATACAATAAAAGAAGTTTTGTCATAAAAATTGATTTTAATGTAAAATCTGAGATAACTGGAAAAAATATAAGATGACCCATAGAAAGTCTAAGAGAATAATTTGTGATTTTTATAATAGATTAAATGTTAAATATGATGAAAGACATATGTATAAACTAGCCAAGCAAAGAGAAAAAAGAGTAAAAACTTTAATACAAGTGTATTAAAAAAGAAAATCAAAAAGTATATTTGTAGAGAAAGATATTCAACAAAGGAGGAAGTGTTTGAAAATACGATCAACTTTAGTGATCTTAATATCATTAATAATAATAAAACTTTTTATTTTCACCGTCGTATTAGTGAAAGGAAGTTAATGAGGTTTTAAATAAAATCAAATGTGAAAAATCAGTAGAACCTAATGGTATCCCAATATAAGAGTATAAATATTTAGGAGATTTGGGATCTTCTTGGCTTACTAAATCTTTTAATATTATTTTAAATACTAAAAAGATAAATGAGGAGTATTTTGGTCCCATTTTAAGAGTAAATGAGATGCACTAGAGTGGAAATTATAGAGGAATTAAATTAATGTGTCATCTATTAGAGAGTAATTGAACATAGGATAAGACGTGATACAAAGATTTTTTATAATCAGTTTGGATTTATGTTCAGCAAGTTTATTATGGAAGATATACAATTATTGGTTTGATGGAGAATTATAGAGAGAGAGTAAAGCGTATCTACATAAGGCTTTTATTGATTTAAATAAAGCTTACGATAATGTTCCAAGAAAAGTTCTTTGGAGAGTTCTATAAAAGAAAAGTGTTGATATGACTTATATTTAAGTCGTTAAAGATATGTATACTAGAGTCGTTACTTGTGTTTGAACAGGAGGAGGATTGACCAAGTAGTTTCCAGTTTCAGTTGGATTACACCAGGATCGGCTTTAAGCCCATATCTTTTTGCTTTACTCATGGATGCTCTTAGTAGACATTTACAGGAAGATGTACCATGGTGTATGTTTTTTCGTTGATGATATCCTTCTTGTGGATAAGACTAGAGAAAGAGTTCAGAAAAAAATTAAATTATGAAGGTGTACATTAGAGTCCAAATGTTTTCGTTTAAGTAGATCTAAAACTGAATACATTAAACGTAATTTCAGTAGTAGTAGATCTAGTGGCATAGTTGTAATAGTGGGTGATCAAATCATTAAAAGTAGTAAACAATTTAGATATCTCGGGTCTATTGTTCCAAGCGAGTGATGTATATGAGGATGTTATTGGTAGAATTCAAGTTGAATGGTTGAAGTGGAGGAATGCATTGAGTCTCTAGTGTGATAGAAAAGTATTGCTTAGACTTGAGAAAACTTTTATAAGATGGTGGTGAGACATGCAATACGTTATGGCACAGAATGTTAGCCTATAAAAGAGAGCATAAAACTAAGTAGTGTTGCTTAGATGAGAATGCTTAGGTGGATGAGTGGCTTGAAACTTAGAAAAAAAATGTGAAACGAATATATCTGTGAAGGGATTGACGTAGCTCCAGTAGTAGACAAGATTAAAGAGAGTCATCTTAGATGATTTGGTCAAATTAAATGTCGATCATCTAATGATTCGGTTAGGAGAGCAGATGTTTTAGATTTGACCTACGTTAAAAAAAGCTAGAGGTAGACCTAAAAAGACTTAGGCCTGTTGTATAAAAAATGATGTTAATTTATTAGAATTAAATGAAAATATGACACTCAATGGGACATAATGGAGAAAAATTATGCATTATCAACTTACATTCCTTCTTCATCAGTGTTGAATTTATGATATGATTTGTTGGAATTCCAAAAGACTTGAGATCAATCATTTTTATTTATCTAAAAAGCTCCAAATCATAATTTGTTGAGAGATAAAACTAACACTTCCTTACCATACAACTTATATACCCACAAAGTATTTGAGCATGTCAAGTTCTTTAATTCAAATAATGTGATGTGTTTTTTGCCAAGTAATTCATTTTATTATTATCGTCTGTAATAATAATATCAACATACATGAGATTTTTTTTTTTTTTTTGTCAGTGAAGCATTTTATGAAGAAAGCATGATATTCATGGCATTGTTTATATCTCATTTCACACATTCCTTTTGAAAATCTTTGAAATTACACTTTTGGGTATTACTCGAAGTCAATAAAGTACCTTCTCAAATCTACACAGATTACTTTCGGTGAAATAGCTATTAAATTCGAATGGAAAAATCATATAAAATTATTCAATATCTTCACGTAAAAAATGCATTTTGCCGTAGCATATTAATGCATGGACCATCTAACTAATCTGCCAGAGAAAATAGGATGCATATTATATTCATTTTAGTAACAACAGTAAAAGTTCATTGGTTGTTCACTATAGGATTGAATATAATCAATTGCTAATATCTTACTTTACACAATTCCAGGCTTGCATCTGCTTTAGATTTTATTGAGAAAACTCATAGCATACAATTAGTTTATTTTTTGATACCTCAACAATCTCCCAAGTGTATTTTTTCCAGGGCATTAACATATTCACTCATGGCGTCCTTTTAATTGTTGTTTTCAATGCCTAAAACAGGATTTCGTGTATTTTAATGATATTGCACGTAATATTTATACGGAACGCTTTATGTGTAGGAGAAAATTTTTGGCATGATCTATATTAGGTTATGGGATACAGTGATGAATGTGTGATGATAGGTTTACTGTTGTTACAGAAGCTATATGAGAACAATTTTGAAACTTGAGCTTGCTGAAGACTTTAGATGAGCTTCGTCTTTTCTTGTATTAATCGGAATAGATTCAGTGATAAGAGGAATGTGTTGTCCTTGCAATTTTTGTAGCTGGGATGTCAAGCGAGAAAATATTAAGTTCATCAAATCTTTTTTACCATTTAGTTGCTCTCCTTCAAAAGAGACGAGTTTTAAGCGAAGAATTTTTATTTATCATTAAACATCGAAAGACAATATTTATATCCCTTTTTAGTTGATGAACATCTTACAAAAACACACTTTTGTTCCCTAGAATCAAGTTAATCCTTGTATTATTCATGGAATTAAATATAACAACCAAAAAGTTTTAAAGGAAGTTTTGAGAAAAAAATTGTTTATGAAAAAATAATTCAGTAAGATAATTTATGACAATTTTGAAATTAATCATTGGTAAGGGGCATTTCATTATTAAGATATATGAAGGTTAGAATGGCTCCCCAAAAATTTCTAGAAATTTGATTTTAAAAAATAAAATTCCTGATAAATTTTAGGAGGCGCTTATTTTTTTCTTTTTGCCGTCCAATTTATTATGGATGTCAGGGCAAAAGGATTGGTCAATAATACTTTCTTCATTGACGAAAAAATATAGTTTAATTAAAGTAAACTCGAGCATTATTAGTCCTTTTTTTTTTTAACAATGACACAAAATTAACATTTTACCAGAGATAAATATTGAAAAAATATAATAGAACATTTTTTTGTTTGATAAGATGACTCATAACATTTGAATGCAATCATCAATCAATTCAAACAAATCTTTCAACTCAAGAAAAATTAAGAGTTTCGAAATGTTTCTAAATATCATAGTAAATTATCATAAAATTAATAGATGATCTACACCCTCTTTCAAAAAAAACTCTATGATATTTAACAATTTCACAAGTCTAATAATAAAGATCTTTAATATAAACATTTATGGAAAAAAGAAAGAAAATATACATTATAGAACTTTAAATGAAGAATCTCCAAATCTAAAATGATGATCCTAAATTGTTTCATTATTTAAAATAGATACAAATGAGAAAAATAAATGGCTATTATTTTCAAATAGTACTACATCCTTTTATCCACCTTGCTCAATCATCTACCCTACGGTGAGAACTTGAAGTAAATAATAATTAGTAAAATATGTCACATTATAGTTGTGACCTTTAATGAGTTTATGAATAAAAAAAATTATTACTAGCATATAACATATTATTGAGAGTAAAATATAGAAGAAATAGGAATATTTCATTGACCTACAATTGGGGTCCGGAGGCTATGGACAAATTTTATTTCATTGTTAAGAAAAGGTTGGCCCATAAGTTTGAAAAATATTCGCAAAAGTGCCGAGTAATCGATGGCTTCAAAATCTATTACTTAAGCTTAGGGGAACTACTTAGCACACTAAAAATACAAAAGTTGAAATCTATATCACTTTAAGGTAGAGAGTATGGTTAAAAAGAATATTTTAAAAAAATATGAAAGTTACTTAATTTCTCAATTTCTTCTAAGTTGAGCCCTTCTAATTCAATCAAATAAGCTGCCTTTTTAATTGACCTTCTTCGTTTCCACTACAAGCTTAGAGCATTTGTGGAGATTCCAACATTTCTCTATAATATACCAATTTTTCTTGCAACAATTGAATCACGGATTGATTTTAAAGAAAGGTGTTTATCCATCCTTTTAGGAAGCTTCGCTTACAAGAAGTTCTTCACCTTGGAGTATTGTGGTTATCATGACCGATATTGGATTTGGAAATGTTACTATCATTCATCTTTCTTCAATTCATATATGTGAGAATGCCTCATTCAGGAATGATGACAGGCCCTCTCTGCTTAAGCTTTGAATGTGAACCTTAGCTGAATTCAACATTAAGCCTTGCAATAAACTCAAACACCATTTCTCATTCAGTGAAATATTTGAAAAAAATAGCAACATCACTGTACTTCATCTTAAGTTTTTGGTGGTAATCTAGCTTTAGCTAAAATACTAAAATATACAATGACAGAGAGATTACCTTGCTTGGTTGATGAGAGCTTCATCTAGACCTAATAGATGAGAGTCATATATTTAGTTTTTTAGAGTCTGCTTGACAGCTTTCCAAATGCCTTTTAAAGGTTGTTACAAACATGTATGGCCCACTAATTTCAAGCATTATGGTCTTACACAATCATGGCTGATCATGGTATGTGTTTTACCTCAAAGTGCAAACTTTGATTCCTTCAAATCCAGAGGAGGATCAATAAAATAATAGATTTTTCTCCATTTTAGAAAAGCATTCACAACTCATATAATTTCTTTTATTCAAACAATATAATTTTTGCAGCTACTGAACTTCCTCTTGTTTGATTTTCACCATTAATGATGGTTAACTCTTTGAAAGAAATGCCCGAAAAATCAGACATGATGGAGTAGAAGAAAGAAAGAGGCAAAAATAAAGGTTGAAAAGATGACCTAAACCCCGTTCTGATACCACAGAAAAAAGATGGCTACAAAACTTGCTTTTGTTCATTACCCAAATAAGTATTATATTCAAAATTACCGGAAAAATACATGTAACTATTAATTACAAAGAATTTAAAAATCAAAGTTGTCATCCAAAACTTCATATGTTGGTTGATAGGAGGAGGGAGCAATCATAACACTCCCCTTTTCATGTTGAGCACATGAATCTATAGCATTCCCTTTTTCCATGCTAAGTGCATGGAATCATGGCACTGCACTTTCCATATTAAGCCTATGAATATGTGGTTAATCTACTAAGCAAATGAATCCGTAACATATGTTTTAGCTTATTTTGCACAAGAATCCGTGACTCTTTTCATTTCTTAATTAACAATCCTAATACTCTCAACACTGTCACATATATGATAAATGATAATAAAAATAATAATGATTACCTCGTTGCAAGAGAAATCAGTTGTATGCTGATCATATAAATCAATGTTACATAATGGCAAATCATTTCAAGAAAAAAAAGATCATAAAAAGATTAAGTGCTTGTGATAACTTACCCAAGAAGGAATACATAGGTCCCCGTCAGGTTGTCTATGTTGCTAGACTTTTGCAACAATACCAGCTGAGGCAGAATTGCAACAGACTCGAGATAAAGAGAGAACGTCCATAATATCTGCCACGTGAATAGTGTTTCTTAATGATAATCAAAATAAACTAAACAATAAATTATAAAAAAGGCAGAAAACTCTATAATAACGAAAAGTGCTATGATTAAGAAACATCCAGTGCCTTTGAGCTTAACATTTCAATAAATGAGATTGCTAATTCAATGCAGTGCTGAATAAATATTTCCCTTACTCATCTATGGGAAACACAACTGCATCAGAGATGTGCATTACAATTATAACCTTACACAAATATCCTAACAAGAAAGTCAGAAAGTTTGAAGCTAAAGATTTTAGTTGGCACCCACCCATTCATAATAATAGTGTTTCCATAGGAAAGCAGAAAAAATTTTATAAGCACACTAGCAGTGAATCCCCAAGGAAATCTCTGATGAAAAGTTATGACGTTAATGCTTGAAGCAATATCCAAGAGAAGTTAGCTTGTTGGAAATTCTAATTTTGTCAGGAATAATAAAATATCAGTATATCATTGATTTATGCAGATTGAACAAGAAAATTAAAGATAAATGAAAAATCCTAAATTTCATGTATGGCTCCCTAATAAAATGAAATTGTTGGAAGAGGGGTCAACAAAAATCAATTTATCGTAGCAAATTTATAGAAAATAAAACAACAAAAGAAGCTCTCAAGAATCTTATTATTTTCTTTGTACAATAAGGGAGGTATGTGTGTGTGCGCACGCGCGCATCTCCAAGTGGCATTACAAAATAGGAATAAATCAAAAAAGAAGGAAAAAATAATATTAGGGGTGTGTGATTCTATAGGAAAGCACACTGAATGCAATCGGAGAGTCATAGAAAGACAAATCCAACAGTACAAAGCCTTGATTTGTGGCCTTAAATTTTTTGTTATGATTGCAGTAGTCAAATTCCAACTCTCCGCCTCAAACTAGATGGTAGAGGTTTACCCTTCCAAGTTTGTCTACGATATTTTTAAATGTGGGCTATAGAGTTATTTGGTGAATATGTTGTTTATTTGATTTTTGTGGGCGCATAATGAGTACACATTAGGCCACTTTCAAATTTATCTTTTATAAAGTCCCTATGGCTGCAAAAGAGCCGAGTAAGTGTTTGTTCAAGCCCAAGCTCGTTTACTAAAAATATGTTCAAGCTCGGTTCGAGCTCGATTCAAGCTTCTTAGATATTGTTCAAACACAATCCATTTAAATTTATTGTTATTCAACCTGAATTTGAGCTCATAGTAAGCTTAATTGTACCCAGCTTCAATAGGACTGATTGATTTAAGCTATACATAAATGGTGATCAAATGTATCTCGACAAAAAAAATAATCCGAGTAAATTCATAAATTAAAAAAAAAAAATTTATATGTCTTACACAAAGCTAAAATTCTCACCCACCTACCAATCCAAGCTTACACAGCACATGCTTCTTGAATTGTTCATGCTACTTGGCTATGTCTTCTCATTTAAACAACCATAATACAGCTCTTTAGATTAGGACTAAATGCAATCCTCTTGACCTCAGTTTTGGTGAGGCTAGTTTTCCTCTTAGGAGTTAGGATCTAGACATAAGACTTTCCCTTTGCTATCTTAGTTAGAACCTTAGTGATGTGACCCAACTCATTTAGAAATTCAAACCACTTCCTAGCTTTTTTCGGAGTCAAACATGGGTGATTTTTTGACCTCCAGCACTTGGGAGGTTGAGACCACCATGAGGGAACTCAAAGAGAATTCTCATAGGACCATTGCCCTAGGGTGGCCTTGTTCACATTTCATTCCTGACACTACCCCTTTTAAAACCCTAAACATATCCCAAATTTCTCAACAAGATCAAACTTAACCTTGCAAAATTGTGAATCCAACTTCAAATCCAAACAACATGAGTCCCAAATTCAAAGATACATCAATTCTACATCAATTTTCCATCATAATTACCCAAAATTATCAAATTGACCTCATCTCCACCAAAGTCACCAAATTGATCCCACCAAAATTACCCAAAATTCTCCAAAATTTGCAAAATTACCCCCAATTTCACCAAAACTACTAAATTATCCTAATCTCCACCAAGATTGCCCAAGTGCAAACTCAAATTCACATTAAACCCACCAAAATCCAAAATCTAATCCAAATTCACCAAATTCCAAGCTTCAATCCAATTTTGCCAAATTGACAATCCCTGAAAGTTCAACAAATCACCAATTGTCCTGTGTCGTGTGAATGTGAGTTAAATTGAAATGGGAAATGGGTTTCAGTCGAGTTTGGGTTCGATTTGGGCTAAACCCGGGCCAATAACACCATAGCCAAAATCCTGCAACACTACCACATTCTTACAGCCAAAATCCCGCAATAACACCACAATAATTCCGATATTACCATAATACAACTGCAAAAATGCAAATAATACCACAATACAACCGCAAAACTCTCAATAACTCCGCAAAACTACCGCCTCGCCACTCAATACGCAACAAGACTACCGTGAAACTCCCATAAACCCCATAATACAACTGAGTTGCCACGCAAAACAAGTAAATACCCCCGCAAATACCACCAAACTCCCGCCCCGCACGTAATACACCCGCATGCTACCGCGGTAACACCAAATAACACCATTTCCGCATTTTTTTCACCAATACTACTGCAATACCAAAGCAGTGACACCTCAAATAACACCACTGTCGTAAAACGCCTGCTAACACAAAAATACAACCGAAATGGGTCCACTAATAACATTGCTTGCCACGGAACCGTAGTAATCCCACAATACAACAAAAATACTAGCACAAATAACACTGTTCACTTCGCTGCCATGGTAAACCGCTGGATAATGCCTGTTTTTCACGATTTCGTGTGAGGTACACCCACCTTCAATTAATCAGCAAAAACACTAAAATAAGCCCCGAAATACAATGACCAATAACACCTAAAGCGAACCTCCTAAAGTCATTTCCCCTCTTAATTTAACTCACATGCACACGACACAATACAATTTGACTTCGCCCTCTCCACCCTCTGCCAAAAATCTCCCCTTTCCGAAGCCCTCCTCTACTCAAAACATCGAGACGACCAACCTCCCATTTTGGTGAAAGAAACACCCCTCGAACGTGTTTCTCCGGGACATTTGAGGGACAAATGATCCTCTCGTTCCCAAAGATCTTTGCTTGGTAGAACAGTCCCTACCTCCTCCCCTTCGGTCGAGCCCATAAATTGGATACATTTGACGTTTAAAAGGGACAATCACCCAAGCCTTGGTGAAGCCCTGCCAAAATCTCTCCAAACCTTCTTGCAATCATGAGAAACTCATTCCCAGCCTCCTTGGCCACCTCCATCCACTCAGAAACCTTAATTTCCCCACGCAAATTCAGAGCCTTTTTCGGCCATTTTACAAACTCCACCAAAACACAAATCTAACTATTCCAAAAGCATCTCAACATAGCCCTAGACCAAATCTAAGCCACTTTTGGTTGAATTCATAATCGGATCCGTTCTCGGAGAAATCCAGCGCTTGTAGCAAGTTCCCAAGACTCGAGTGAAGCTTTTGCAACCATCCAATCGAGATCTCACCTCTTGGACAAAGGTATTGACTCAAAAAACTCCATTTTCTCCTTGGTTTAGATCTTTGTGAAGAAAATTTACATGTAATGATAAATTAGCCGTATGGATGTGTTCTTCGCATTTAGATGAAGGTGTAGGAACAAACTGCACTTGATTTAATCAAATATCGCACGAGATTTTGACCCTAGAACATGGACGGTTATCGGGTTATAACCCTTTGGGGAAAATGACCCGATATCGTCCATTTCCTTATATTTGAAATGGACGGCTCGGATCGTGTTTCACGATGGATCGGAGCAGTACAAGGGCCCCAAACAGCGGGCTGAAGATGCGGGCCACATGGGCAAGGCAACCAATCGAAGCACGCCGCGCAGCATTTGGAGCTATCGAAGTTGAGGTGGCGGCTAACGGGGTTAAGTGAACAAAATATGAATTTTTTATATATTTAATCGCAGAAAATTAAATATGACTTAGAAAAATCATATTTTGGTGTAGAAAATTCAGAAAAATAAAATAAAAAATATTCTTGTGCTCTTGTGTGTAAAAAATTAAATTATATTAAAAATTAAATTATATTACAAAAAAAATACAAACATTTCTATAATTCCTTCTCTGACCTTAAGCAACACTATAAAAAATTTTCAAAGGCAGAGAACAAATTTTGGGTATTTAAATTAATTATCATTTGAAATCTATAATTATGAGTTTAAATAAATACAAATAAATAAATAAATGTCGGAAAATATAATTTCTTCTCTTGTGTGTTAAATAACTCATGAGTAAGATCACAGCAAGACTATATGGTCACTTGAACTAAAATTAAAAGATTATGGGGTTAGCAACCCTAGGGGCAAAATTATAATTTTGGAATTTTGCACTTTAATTAATTTTTAGGATAAATCAGAGGGAGAATGGGTAACATTTATGATAACTAACCTACTGAGACGATTGAAATAAAATGGTAAAAGGGTAGAAACTCATTCACAATATTTTCTATAAAAGGACAAATTGTAATTACTTGAATTGTTATATATTTGAAAGGAAGATGACTTTGGATGATCCAAAGTGTGATGGGTATAAGTTAGGAGACCAATAATTCACTGATATGTACATTCAATCAATGGATAAACATGATTCAATCTTTCAATAAGGATTAAACACATTTCATAAAACCTTTTTAAAAATCACAAATTTACCCTCAAGCCTTCAGAGTTTGTAGTAAATTGAGTTTGATCTAACATCATATAAAAGGGATTAGATAACAAAACACAAAAAATCATAAACATCTTAAAACACTACAAGCTCAAGTCCAATCAAAAGAAGAAATGTAGAATATCTTAATAACCAAACATACCCCTAGGGGGCCTATTTACATAATTCTTAATCATGACATTAAAGATTGACCACTTGCCTTACTCATGGTCTACTTAAGACATCAAAATCACATTGAGCACAATTAAAACACAATT